ATAGGGTATGCAAGGGACAGGATAATATGGGTGAATGTAGTAACCACATTGTTTTTTCATGTGAAACCTTCATAAGAGTGTATATCAATAATACCTTAAGAAAAAAAAAGAATTCAATGGGCAGTACTATATAAAAGGAGGTAAGTACATGAAATTAATCCCACTGAAGTCAAGAAATAGTAACCTTAAAAACAGTTTTGAAATTTGCATTTGCTAACACCCTAAGAATTACCAAGTGGTTCTTACTTTCAGCCAAATTTTTCAAGGGCTTTCTTGGATTCTAGCTACCTCCAAGGTTCAACACTGGGCTCCCAGCTCCGGGGGGCATCTTTGCTATGGAGCTGCTGATACAGTACTTTGCATCTTTTAGAAAATCAAAAAAGAAAGGTCACTTTTGTCTTTGGCCAGACCAAGCTTTTGGCTGTGAAGAATTTGGCATTGGGGCCCTGAGGCCACCAGGCTAATGAATTTAGGGTGAGGAAAGTAATGGAAACAGAAACACTCAGCCCCTCAGAACGTGTGGGTTTTCTTTTTGTGAAAGCAAAAGGAGTCCTTACATAATGTGATCACCTTTTGAGGTTATGTTGCCACATGCACTTGGGATTAAGCACAAATTTTAAAAGGAAGGGAGACTAATGCTCTCCATGGCAATGTTTGTATTTCCCGTCACTTTCCTGTGTGCACTATTTTTAAAAGAAACATTACACACAGGAGCCCCAAGGCAATGGTACCAGTGAAACAATGCCAGCTTGGAAATCCAAAAGAGTCTCTGGTTTTCATTATGTGAGTGAGAGGTCTTTACTTGAATGTTTCTTTCTTTCTTTCTTTCAACCCACAGCCTCTTGGTCTCTAACCTTCCAGTGCATCCATGGTCATTATTCTTTGGGTATTTTAAAATTATGAACATAGAGGACAGCCAACTGGAGTCTCACAGTCTGAGGAGCTAATGGAAACCTTTAATGCATGGATGTCGGTCATATAGATCAGCTGTGACATAAATCACATATTGGCCTGTGTGCCTGTAATGAGAACAAGAGAAATGGTCTGAAGTCTACCTCTTTTGTGGTTCTTCTACTAAGACAGAGATCTGTTCAGCAAAATGATCTCTTCAGGGGCTTTACTAAGTGACAACGGAGCACGAAAAACCAACATTCCTCACATTTCTCCATTATAAGGGAATAGGATAACAAAATGAGAGATTGTATAGTGGAAATCCAATGCATCTATGTAGTTACTCTGGAAGTATGAAAAACGTCAAGTTATACAAAGGTAATTATATGCACTTTGGTCTCCATCTCCAAAAGAAAGGCTTGGAGCTAAAAGAACCAAGGCTGTTTATCCATTATGACAATTTTGATCCCTTACCGACTTTCTCATGAATGAAAAAGACTGTGACAAGTTTGTTTAAAGTCTAAATGTAAACACCCATGAAGAATACTCATGATGTGAAACCTGGGATTTTTAAAAAGATTTTATTTGTAGAGGATGGCTGTGTTCATCAGTGGTGGGTAGAAGACTGCAGATAAAAGGAAGCACCAATCACTGGTCTATCTTTGTAATTAGAAGTCCTCTCCCCTCTATCTTTTGCATGCCTATCTGGAACTGGGCTTAATTAGCCTACTGAGAATTTGGGAGGCATCAGGGCTCTGAAACACCATGAAGGTTGTAGCCTCTGACTGCAGTGACCCAGGGGTTAGAAGCATTCCCATCAACCTTGCATTTTCCAATGGCTCTCATTATTTAGTTTTTACTGGGGGCAGGTAATTTTACATTCACAATGCAATAAACTTTGAGGTTTCAAAAAACCCACCCTCAATGAACTTAACAAGTACAATCAATTTCTCGGCAATTTTAATGGCTACTTTATCAATCTTTCATGGGCCACCCCGGCATTTTTTAAATCACTGACTTAGACTAGTTTTCAATATAGAACATGGTAAACTGAGAAACCTCAATCATTCCAAGCATTCCTATCATAAACACGTAATAATCAGGGTGATTTCCAAAGAAACTAAGGATTATCGAGGATGCTGCGATCGTCCTTTTCCTGAGCCAGGTTCTGAGGGTCATAGTTGCAGGTCTACAGGCACATGGCAGTGCTTGGACTGTCAAATGCTGTTTGGGAGGACAGTCAAGCTGCTTTGAAGTTCTTAGAGTTTGTCCAAGCAGTTATGTTTCCACAGAATGTTCCTGTTCTTCAAAAATGATATTGTGTGGTTATGTGAGAGTGTGTATGTGTGCACAGGGATTCATCCACGGGCAGGCATTAGAACAAGACAGAGCTTGCTATTTCCATATGACTAACTCAAGGCAATGACGAGTCAGCCTATAGTTAGTGTAGTTAATATCCTGATAATGGTAACCTACAGTAGAGACAACTTCATTAACCTTATCAAATACTGCCTCCCTCAGAGGGCTCAGGGATGAGGTTCAAATGGATGCTCACTGCGTTTAAGTTATAAAATCCATCTCAAGGGTCTTCTCCTCTGAGAGGAGTCTCTAAGCTTTATGCCTCTCTCCATATAGTGATGAAAATTATATTTCTGGTGAACTTCACCAGGATGAGACTCCCAGCACCAGTGAAATGCCTGGTACATATTAGGCTCTAAGTAAGCACTTGTTAGATAAATGAATAAAGAAATGTTGCCACTTGCCTTCTTACTGTCCCATTGTCAACCTCCAACTCATTACATGGTATTATAATTACTGCATCTAAGTTCCATTTAGGGTAAAGATATTATATCTTATTCACTCAGATTCTGTCATAGCACCTGGTCGAGAAACCTTGCTAAAAGGGATGTGAGCTGCTGAGGGCCATCTGCTTCTTCAGAGGAAATGAGCACTCTTTGCTTATGAAGAATGATGGCAATTTCCAGTCTCCATCATATGTTGATCATCACATAGGTCAAGATAGAATTTAGACATGCTGATTTCATCAGTGTAAAATTCAGTAGCTAGGTGACTTCAGAGAGAAACATTCCACAATATAGAAATGACTGGATTTGTAAATATTTAGGTCAAGGGTTGTTTTATTTTTTTTTTATAATGATTCTTCAAGGCCAGCCTTTAATATCTGGATGATACTGATTGCTAACACTTGAGCAACAATTCAGAGGCAGCCTTCCTGGGTGGCTCAAGAGACCAGCATCCTAGTTGCAGACACTTCCTGGGATAGCTCTGCCAGAGATGCCCCAAGTGTGCTATTGACAGGCAGGGATGGGCCGTAGCCAGCTCCCAGTGGCGATGTTCTTCCATCCCATGTGGTTTCAAAAGCAAGCTGATCTGCTGACTTGAAGGAATAAAAGAAAAAGAGTACAAAATGGACCATCAGGAGATAATGGGACATTCAAGACAAAAGGAGCAATAATCACATCCTGCTTGCATTCCTGGATGGGTGTCTCCAATCTGAGTGCCTAGGGGTGCATTTCCTCCCTTGGGGGAACAGCTTCACCAGCTGGTGATCTTCATGGACCTTGCCTGAGTTGTTCTTTGGGCAACTGGTATTGTAGTTAGGCAAGTCTCAGTGAAGCATCAGCCACCACTGTAGGCAGACGAAGACAGGCATGTTCCTTCCCCTGGACCTCTCCTTCCTGCCTTGTGAATTAAGGCCCACTGCTGTATATGGATCAAAGAGAAGAACCCATTTGGTCAACAGTGTGTCAGAGGAAAAACCAATTTTGTTTCACAGATTTTCTGTGTGAATATTTTCGCTGTAGAGTTTTCCCGGTTTCTAAATACTCTCTCTCTCCCTCTTCTCTCTATTCAGCACCTCCCCAAATAAACTTTTCTCTGAACTAATTATGATTGCCAGCTAGTGAACAAATGTACTATTTTTGGTGACTTCTCTTGGAAAACTGAGATGTGGCAGGCTATTTTATTGTATTACTTTTCCCCTTAAAAAAATACTCTGTCTTTTTGGTTTCACGTTGTATGATCTTAGATACAAAGGTCTTTAAGACTTTTTCTAATTCTGGACAAATCTCAGTGCAAGGAGTTACAGACCTCAAGGACAAATGCATTATTTACTTTTAGGCTTATTCTGGGATCTTGACAAGAGTTGTATGGGGCTACCCAAGTCAGTTAACAGTCCTGTTGGTGTACGTGAGAGTCATTAAGCAGCTGACAGGGAATGAAGGCTGAGGACAAATATATTTAAAATCAATATCTCTTAAAATGTTTTTACTTGCTAAAGATGAAGTTTGCCATTCATCTATTAGCACTTGCTTTCTGCCATATTGACTTCTCAGATATAAAGTTTTGGGTGAGTAGAGAGATTTCTCTTTTTCCAACTGACTGGTAATTTTTCCTTTTAGATCAAGTTGCTATAATCTCCCTCCAGGTTTTAATAACCTGAGACTTTTAGAAGAAATTTATTGAAAACTCATGGTCAGCATAATTTTGGAGTTTACTCCAGTGTTTATAACCAGTAATAGGGGAGGTATATTCAGGTCCACAGTTACTTATTCATAATTCTCAAGTCTAGAAAGCTCTGAAAAAATAGACGTATTTTTCATTATATTTGGTACAAATTAATTTAGCAAAAGCTGACCTGAAAGGATGCAAGGCTCCTTAGAGTCTGTAACAATCTTATGCAGTGTGACTATTCACACACCTAATGTTGCAGAAATATTAACATGTTTAATTAAGGGTGCTATCCCAGACTCTGCTAGGGGTGTTACAAAATACACCACAGGTAACTTCCTAAAATATAAAGAACTATGAATTCCAAAATACATCTGGCTCCAGGAGTTTAGGTTAGGAATTGAAAACATGAACTAAACTGTGAAGGTAATGATTTTTCACTTACCTGCTGATTTTCAGCCAAGGTCATTGAACCAAGGGAAATGACAGAACCATGCATGCAACTTTAAAGGGACAATAGCAACAGTGATCCAACTTGCTTTCCTCTTCAATGCAAGGCAACTTCCTTGCTCACTATGAGTGTCCGGTTCTGAACACCACGCTCCTCTGGCCAAAATATTAAATGAGGCATACCCCGCTTACCAACATATTGCTTTATTTCTTGGTGGTAGTAATTTAAGGCTTTCTAGAGTCATACAGCACGCAGTGATTTGAACATTAGAATTAAAATAAACAAACAAACAATGAGCATTCAATTTAGCAGAGGCAGGAAGGAAGCAATGTTTTAAAACAGATAAATTTCCTAGTGAGAACTTTTGCTTGGTCTCTAAAAAATCTGCTGAGCTGTTTCCCCAGTACCTCTGCCATAAATTCACACCCCAAGGAGAAGCAGAATGGATGAAGAGAAGACTGGGGAACAGGAAGAAACTGGGAAAGACAGTGCGTGCTGGGCAATCAGTGTGGCAGTCAGCTTCGTCTCCTGCTGGGAAGACAGGTTTAAGTGATGTAGTTGGTGGTGGGGATAAAGGTATGTATCCTGGGACAGCTCTTCTTTGCTTCGGGGGCTACTTAGGATCTCCCTTCTCATTCTGTTAGTATTAAACCAGCTCAGTTGGAAGGCCCTGGCGCCAAGGGACAATCCTTTGTGACTCTCAAGTTCTGAGACTTTAGAGAGGGTGACAAGAGAGCAGGGGAATGCTACCTTTAACCCTTCCATGGTTCCAAACCTGTGACTATCACTAGATACTATTCCCCAAACGATTCATTCTCTCCCGTGGTATAGAGCCTGGACTGCACTTATTTAAGTTGCTGCTGATGTTCATGGGAGAGCAGGTCATATTTCACATGATGCATGAAGAAAACCTCCTGGCAGATGCCACCTCACTCTATCTCCTCCTTGCCAACAGAAGACAAAGGAACACAGGCAGCCTACAGTGGGAAGGCAGTTGTCAAGTGGTGTGTAAGCTTGATCTGAAATAAACTCTATGTGCTTTGCTTGGAGATGCGGTGGGTCAGGGTTTGGATGGTGGACCCTCTGAGAAAGAAATGCATGAACTGTTTAAACAGTGATGAAGGAGGATTGTGGCCAGAGAATGATTTGGGAGAGGTCATGTGTTTATTAACAAAAGACAATTAAATTCATAATGAGCAATGGAATTTCTTTTGGCATCCTGATTTCACATGAATGAGACTTAGCAAATGGATTTCTAACCACATAGGGCCACTTAAAATTCACATTTTGCAATGATTTTAGTATTCAATTCTGAGGGCCTGGTTGGTGGACCAGTGCCCAAGTCCTACCAACATGTTTCCTTTTCCGTTTGTCTGGATCTCCCTTCTGAGAGAACAGTATTTGCACACCTGAAAGTCTGCCCTGCATTTGCGCACAGAGAACATGCAGACAGCCACAGGGGAGGCCCACGAGGTGGCAAGCTGCACAGTTAAGCACTTATGACTTAACCCCACCAGGCCCCATGCGATGAAGTCTGGCTGCACAAAGAAATAAATAGATGAGAAAAGTACAAATGTGATCTGAATGACAAAGAACCGAGGCATCTGCCCCTGTCAGCTGCAGGGCAGATGTGCCTGATGCGTGCCACATGCACACGAAAAGGAGTAGAAAAACCTTTGAGGACATGTGTTCTCTTGGGTCTTGTTTGTTAATTACAAATCATTGAGGCTCTTCCCTCCTATTTGAAAATATGCAGAAAGCAACTTGGTGGTGGTGGTGGGACCTTTTGTTGTGATTAGGAATCCCCCTGCTTCAATATGATGGTGTGTGTGTGTGTGTGTGTGTGTGTGTATGTGTGTGTGTGTGTAAGGGGTGTGTGGGGGAGGGGGTGATGCCGGAAGCACTTGTGCAGAGAAGCCACATGTTCAGCGGGCAAGGAGGAGATGCCCCACAGACTCACCCACCAAAACAGACAGGGATGGAGCCATACTCTGATTGGGGCAAAGGACATACAGGACACTGCTGTGGCACTTCTGAATCTCCTGAAAGCACCCAATGAATCGATACTCTTAGAAGAAGTAGATGCCTTGCGTGTTCTATTCATCGGGTGCTTCTGTTTATGGACATCTCTGTTCCCTCAGTTCTAAAATGGGCATGCAGCTTAATCCTCTGCTGCCTGGCCTCCGACTGGGTGCTGGCAGCTGAAGCCCAGAGAGGTCATTAGCAGTGAGCTGGGGGGAGAATGTAGGTCTCCTCCCCCACTGCCGCTTGCTGCAGGTGATTCTTTGAAAAGGTTTGCAAGCATCTTGCCTATCCCAGGTGCCGCGACAAGAATTTGCGTGGGTGTGGGCTTGCTGGGTGTGGCTCAGGCCAGTCAAACAGCTTAAAGAGGAGGCAGTCTGGAAAGCATTCTTTGCTCTGATGACGTGTTGTCGCTGTGGGACAGGGAGGGGTGGGGTACAGGGAACAGGGGTGTAGAACCCCAGAGGTGTGGCCAGGAGGAGAGAGACAGAGAGAAAGGCTTGTTTTTAAAGCTCCGGCAATCAACTTTCGGAGGAACATCTTTCATTAGAAGAGAAACTGCCTACAAGTGACCTCACCAGGAACACTTTGCTGTGATAGAAACTGGCCTACCACCACCCCGCTTGCTCCCCATGACCTCTGTTGCCCCAGAGAAATGAGGAAAATTAAAAACCTAGGAACCTTCCTGGAAGAAATGGCTGTTATGGCTGGGTGTGGGAGCTTACATATGCTGCTTTTAAAAAACACTGTGTTCTGTTCATGTTTGTATGACAACAGCGGCGGCAGAAAGCTGTCCCTTCAGAAGAAGGCAGGGTTGGTGTGCTCGATGACGCAGCGCTTGCAGTGGCGCTTCACAAACCGCAGCGCCTCCACGGACACCTCGCAGTCCTGGACGTTCAGCATCTGGAGGTCGAAGCAGTTGGCTGCCACGATCTGCAAGCCCTGGCCCGTGATGCTCTCGCAGGACTTGAGGCTGAGCCGCTTGAGATTGAAGCAGTTCAGGGCCAGGCACTCCAGGCCCGTGTCGGAGACCAGAGGGCATTTGCCGATGTCCAGAGACTTGAGTTTGGTGCAGTTCTTGGCGAGGTACTCCAGGCCATGGTCCGTGATGCCCTCGCAGCCCCTCGCGTTGAGGTAGCGCAGCTTACTGCAGTACTTGGCCACGTAGCGGATGCCCACATCGGTAACGCGGCCACAGTGGGCAATGCTGAGGTACCGCAGGCGGGATTCCAGTTTGGCAATCTCCCTCAGGCCAAAGTCGCTGACGAAGCGGCAGTCACTGACGCTCAGCTCCTTGATAGAGGTGCAGTAGATCACCAAGTAGCGGAGGCCCTCGTCGGTGAGGCGGACGCAGCGGCGCAAGTACAGGTGGGTCAGCTGCGTGCAGTGCGCTGCGATGGTGTGCAGACCTTCGTCCTCCAGCACGAAGCAGTCCGTCATGTCCAGGTAGCGGATGGAAATCTGTTTGCCATGCAAGGGGGACAGTTTAATGGAGGCCTCCCGGGTCAAGCTGATGCAGGTCACTTTGGAGCACCCTGCACAAAGAGACAGATCACAGGCTCAGAGAACCTCCGCAAAAGGGGGGCGTGCCTGGGAGCAGGTAAGCGTGTGGTGGGGGAGGGGCATGGGTCCTCTCCCTCTCCTGAGTCCGGTCCAATGTCACCCCTTTCCCTCTCAGACTGACAGAGAAGGACAGCAAGAATGGGTTCACCATGCTCACTTGATTCATTAGCTGATTCATGGACTATAGTTACCAGAAAGACCACGGTTCCAGTTCCAGATCTATCACTAGTTGCCTGACACTGGGCAAATCAATCCTTTTGAATATTTCCTTTGTCTTAAAATGGAGATGACCACTTTCCCTGCAAGGCGCTGAAGAAGAAATGAGACAATGTGTGCAAATATCTTCCCTGGCCCTGCAAGTTCCTGAAGCTCAGTAAAGGTTAGTTCCTGCCCTGCAATGGTCTGGTTCTCTGGCCCAAAGTGAGATACGAGACAGAAGACTTGGCCATGACCTTGGTTTGGCAAAAAGAGTACTGGTTTAGGAGAAGCACCTGGTTCAGGTCTACTTTTTTATGGCCCCGGGCATGAAGCTTAACTTCTGGAGTCTCAAGACTGTCCCTTGGGAAATGGGAACACAGAGCTGGTATGCCTACACTACAGGGATATAATGACCATGCAGTGAGATAATGGGGTCCCACATACTTTGAAAACTCTATGGGAAATACATGTAGTTATTAGTCAATAAAGGTAACCAGCTGTGGATTCAGTTCTTCTCAGGGCTGCCAAGAGATCCTGGAAAACAGAACTCTAATCATGTCATGCTGTTCAAAGCCTTCGGATGGCCCCCATCTCACTCCAAGTGTAAAGTTCAAGGGCGCCTCCAAGGACCTGTACCCCTGTGCTCTCTGACCTCATCTCTAGCCTGACCCCATTGGATTCCCTGCTGGTCCCCAAACACCTCAGGTGCCCTCCTCCTCAGCCTCTGTGTGCTGGGCAGGGCTTCCCAGGATTGCTCCACGGGCCACCCCCCACTTTCTTAGGTCTCTCAGCAAATACCAGTTTATCGGACAATTCTTCTCTAATCACCCTGTATGACTTAGCAGTTTCTGCCTGACTCCCCTTTATTTTCAGCACTCTCTATCCCTTTGTGGCATCCTATATTTACTTGTTCATGTGTGTATTTGCTGTCCTCACTCTGGAATGTAAACTCCTGAGAAAAGGAACTCTGGGCTGTTCACTGCTGTAACCTTCACACCTGGTTCATAGCTGATGCTCACTAAGTATCTGCTGAATGAATGAATGAATGAATGAATGATTAATAGAGTGGACAGAGTCTTCTATAGGAAGATCAGGTATGATAATTTAAATTCCAACATTTAAATGTCCTCAAGAAGTTGACCATGGCTGATATGTATCTATGTCGGAAGACAGTTGTCTGTTTTATAGTTAATTATAATGCCTTTTATTTATGTTGAATTATAAAATATTTACAAAGTGCTTTTATTAATTGTTTCCTGATTTTTAAAACAGTAAATTTTACAGATAAGGAAATTAATGCTTAGGTAAGTTGTTTTTTTTTGAGATCTACAGGGCACTTTAACATTCTATCCTTTTTCAAGTGATTGGTAGATATCTTTAGATATGTGAGGAACCATTGTTTCTAACCATTCTTCCCCTAGGAATATATGTGTGTATAAATTATATGATGTACTATATATTATATATAGTTACTACATGTTTATATATATGAAGCAATCATTTCATCATATTCCAGCTCACTACATATTACTATCCAAAATGTAAAATAAATTTTTATTTTGTAAATATAAATAGTATGCATAGTCAATATATGTTGCATAAATAAATGTTTATGTTTATATACTTGATTCTACTACATGGACTGTGTGTGTGGGTATATATATATATATATATATATTTCCATGTTCTCTGTGCTCCTCCCAATCTCTCTGGCAGCTGTAAGGCCAGGTGCCTCACCGCGGGCACCTCTGTGCCTTGGCTGCTTCTGCAATATTCAAGGCTTCTGAGCGGCTGTGTAACAGTGCTAACGGGGACTTTCCTCTCATCTCTTGGCTGACTGCCCGGGAAACTTATAAAATTCAGCTCCTGAGAATAATGAGTTTCAAAAGCCATGTGCTACCAAGTCGAAGGATTTCAGAAGGAGTAAAAGCATACACCCTGCAATGCTCGAGAACAAAGATGAGCGTCGTCAGAGGCCGCCCATGCAGCTCCGGTGTGGGCTCTCTGGATTTGCGGTTGGTGGTTTGTGCCCCTCAATGCTAGTTTTGAAATCTTCCTGTTTTTGAATTTCGTTTTTTGGGTTGACTGTCATCCTGCTTATACTGAATTTATATGTCCACACTAGTCGCTGGTTGCTCATCTGTGGATGCCTGTGAAGGCACTTTGTCTTTCAAGATCATATGACAACCTTTGTTCTTAAAGTTTCCTCTTTTTAAAAAAATATCTAGCAAAATATGTTGCACTCCTGGAATTATATTCTGTTTGGTCCAGGGAAACATATGCCTTGTTTTTGAAACTGAATCTCCAATTAATGAAATAATAATTAAGCTCAGTTTTGGTAAAGACCCTTTTTTGATATACTTGTATTATTTTAGATCAATAATTTAAAATTTCAGTTCCAGCCTCAGTTCTTACAGATTTTCAAAGTTTGGGTTGAAAACAAAGTAAACTGGCCCAAAGCTCAGTGGATAATATGTGTGCTAGTTCATGCCTTCGTACATTACAAATGTGGAGAGAACCATAGAAATCATCCAATTTAACCTTCACTTTTAAAAGCTGGGGCATCTCAGACTCAGTGAGACTATATTAACTTGTACATGCAGACTAGGAAAAAGTTTCCCAATCCAAGGTTTCAATTTTAGGAGGGGAGGTAAGAAATGACGAAGATGTAGCATGCAATTGATGAATTTCATGAGAGCTTTACAGGTAGATACGTCAGCATGAAGTGAACTTTTAGACACTGGTCAGAAGTCTTAGAAGTGGTGATATCTCTAAGGGGATTCTGGTAAGACAGATACAATTTGCATACATACTTAGGAGCCCAGCTGGCAAGGTTAACAGCACATGCAAATTCAAGAGACAAGGAAGCATGGGGGCAGAGGGCTGGTGAGGAGTATCCATAGGGTGGAAGCAGGATGTCTGAAAGAATTTAATGGAAGTTAAGACAGGAATCAGATCATGGAGACCTGCTCTAACATTCAGGCTAAGAAGTATGGCTATTACTCAACAGGGAATGAACAATGTGGGCTGACCAAATCTGTGGGATTTCTTCGATACTTCAGATTTGGTTCTGCTTTCCCAAAGATGCTCTTCATTACCACTTCCTCTCACTATTGATGTAATATCTCTACCTACTCTGATATAAGATGACTAAGACAATAAGAGGAACTACTGACTTCCAAACATGTTTAAAACAATGACAATCCAAAAGTGACGAGAGTTATGATTTATTAACTGATGATTACATGATTTTTAGCCCAGCATACATGTGAGGACTTAACATGTATTAAACCATCTAATCCTCCCAATGAGCCTATATTTACTGATGAGAAGTTTAAGTCACTTCACTGCACTACAGCTTCCCAGTGCTTGTTTAGAGTATCAACCAATACAACTTTGAACCTTTTGGGGCATCAGGCAGGGGAGGCTTTACTTTGGTGATACCTGGACTGGGGTTTGTGCACTGAGAAGTCTGCTAAGAGGGTTTTCAGGGAGCAGAGGGGAAGAGGAGGGATGGCGCACAAGCCAGAGAGGTTCCCACACATCACTGAATGCACAGAAGTGATATGTTTGGGGAAATGCAAATGGTTCCACAGAGGGGAGCACCAGGTACACAGAGGAAAGGGATAGCAGAACCTTGAAAGGGCAGCTCCCTAAGGGCCATATATGCCCTTCTGATTTGAATTTTTCCTGTAGGTCATGGAGCAACTGGAGATTTTATGCAGAAAAATGAATGGTTAGACCTGTAGTTTGAAAAAAATCTCTCTGGAGGTTAGTTGTGTGGAGAGGAGGGTCGGTCGATGGGGTTGAAAGGAGTTTAAGGAGAATGGTTAGTGAAGCATGCTCCCAGGTGGACAAGTAGAAGAGGGGGATGGAGTCAGGTACCTGGGAAGGAGAATCACCTGGACAGGATTCTACTGGTCGGATATAAATGATTAGCTAGTGAAGTGAGGTGCACGCTCCAGTTACAGGCAGCCCTTTTGAAACAACTGCGTTTTCAGTAACTACATTTTATACTTGGAAAATTAGTTGTTTTCAGTATGTTCCATTGATATTTAAAGATATTATTCATTGTGATGGTTAAATTTCATGACACCTTCACCAGATGACAAGGTGCCAAGATACCTAGCTAAACATTTCTAGATGTAACGGTGAGCCTGTTTCTGAATAAGATGAACAGTTGTGTCTGTGGACACAGTAGAGCAGACGGCCCTCCCCGTTGTGGATGGGCATCATCCGATTCATTGAGGGCCAGAGTAGAACAAAGATGGAGGAACAGAAAATTCTCTCTCCCTGCCTGTCTGTTTGAGCGCATTGGTCTCATTTTGCCTTTGGACTGAGACTTACACCACTGGCAACCCTGCTTCTCAGGCCTTCAGACTCAGACTGAACTGCTGACCAGCTTTCCTGGGACCCCAGCCTGCAGATGGCAGATTGTGGGACTTCTCAGCCTGTGGAACTGTGGAAGCCAATTCCTCTTAATAAATCTCTCTCTTTCTCTCTCCCTCCTCCATATATATATATATATATACACACACATATACACACACTCTGTGTTGGTTCTGTTTCTCTGAAGAACCCTGATCAATGTTAATGAAAGGTAGTATGTGATAATGAGAAAACACAACAGCTAGTTATAACTTTCAGTGACTTGGAAAGATAGCATTCAAGGTGGACATGCTAGGGGTGGGAGAGGCAGTCTCTGTCCTCTGGGGGAATTAGTTCTAGACCAGAGATGAATCTTCCAAAGTCAAGTTTACTGCCATTGAGAAGGTGGCCACTCTCAGAGGCCAGCTGTGAAGCCAAGGGAACAATGACTGCACCGATGAACCACCGCAGTCGAGCCCTCTGGCTTCTCCCAGCATCAACAGCATCCCGATTCCCTGAGAACTGGAGGGCACCATTCAGAGGGGGTGATACAAATCCATTCTTATGGCTTATTGGGTCTTTCAAGTTCATCTACCTGAACCCACTGCATCTGCCCCAATATTTGGAATTCTGTGCTCTTAACTTGGTGAGTTAGAGATTCTCCATATGTACACAGATTGCACAGAGTCACTGCAATGTGGGAAGTCACTGCAATGCACTGACATGTGGGGAAGCTACACAAGTATATCAGGACCTACAAATCAGTCAGGTTGATATAGTGGAAGGGCATCAAACCTTACAGAGTGGTAGTCAGAAGGGCCAAGCAGGATCCACTCACTCAGGCTAGAAGCCCAGCAATTTCCATTCCCAAATAGCCATGGAGTTTCTGCATTTCTGAATTTCAAAAGGACCCTAAAAGAGAGGGCCCAGTTACTTGCAGCCTGTGTTACAGGTGTACGGTGCATCCCCTTTGTGTAAAGGGTGTATCTCCTTTTACAAAGATGGGGATTCAAAAAATGAGTCATTTTCTAATCTGAGAAAAGAATAGAAAAATGAATGTTCCCCAAATAGTCCCACAATGCTCAGAATGTCAGAATGTTTAAGAATCCAATCCTTTTCTTTTTTTTTTTAAACTGAAGAGGAAACACATCTAGAGAAAGCTGTGAGTTATCCCAAATCATGAAGTTTTGAAACTAGTTTCTACCACATCCCAATGCTTTATCTTTCCAGAATCCCTTGGAGGAAGAATGTAAGAAACCTCTTGGTTTCCTGCTTCTTTATGCCAACGGCTGCTCATAACTAACTGAAAACTCGGTTGCTATGGTTTTGTCCTGAAGCCAGCTGAAGGAGGGGAGCAATGAGTTGCTTTCCAGCAAGGGAAAGAATCTGCGAAAAATAACTGACTGTCATTTGAAATATTTTCAGATGTTGCCTTTTGAAAGAGAGAGAGAGAGAGAGCTCAGAGAGCTGACTTTTACCTCGGATTTCATTGGAGGATATCATTTACCCCTGATGCATGTAAATCCCAAATTCTGTTTATTCGCCCTTCACCTCGGTTTTTACTTCTTGACCCGGGACCCCCCAGCAGCCCCTGAGGATGTGGCTTACGCCACATTTCTTCAACTCCCTGATGCATCTCACACATTTCAGACTCTCAAATGTTCATCTTTTGACTGGGCAGCGGATAAGATAAAGAAAGGCTGTTAGTACAGCTGGATCCATGTCTGGCGTCAAAGTGTGAGTCTGGGTTTTAATTCTTCCTGCCTGAGAGGTTTTCAAGCAAAGCAGCCATGCTGAGATTTTCTTTAGTTTTAAAAAGAACGAAAGGCTCCCCCTGATGGGCTTTGCCCTTGTGCTTTGTAACTGAGAATTTTGCTTAAGAAAAGATCAAACTCAATGCAGGGCTGAGGAGAGGGGGTGGAATACAAGGAGACACTTGGCCACGATGGCCTTTCAAACCCAGCATCTGCAAAATGGCAAGCCATCGGGAGCATGGCCCAGAGCACAAAGTCAGCATAGACGTGGCTCTCAGGCTGTGTGGAACAATACCCAGTTGAGTAAGGGTGGTTTCTAAACTACCTGTGTTTGAGTTAGATATTTGGTTCCTGTTTACCTGTGATTAGATATTTGGTTCCCATTATCTATGGCTGCTCTGCAGTTCCTGTGAGTTACAGGGAGGAAACATGCATTTAGAAGCCACACTAACCTGACCTGCCTGACAAATGTGCCTCTAAGAAGTTGCCATTATTTGATGAAAGGGATACCTCTGGCCTCCAGGGTCATGATTACACAGAGAAGGGGGTAAGTCAGCCCGCTCCCTGCCCACCCTCCATCTCTAATGGCTAGCAAGATGAGGACCCTCCCCAGGTGGCAAGGTCCTCTACTGCTTCCTGAGCATGCATTGGGAAGGCCCCACTGATGGGAGGTCAGTTGCCATTTACCTGACACATCTAGGTGCTCCAGGTTGGGGCAGAGGGACACCACGTCAAATACCGCCTCATTGGAGATATTGTAACAGCCGGACACTTCCAGTCGCCTCAGCTCCGGGCAGCACTGGGCAATGGTGTAAAGCCCTCGGTCCGTGAGCCGCCTGCAGCCACTGACAGTCACGGTTTCCAGCATGAGACACACGTTGGGCGTGTCCTGGCACAGCCTGCGGGTCAGCACCTTGAGCGCGCGGTCCACATTGATGGTCTCGCCAGTCAGGCGGATAGTCCTCCAGAGCCGCGGGTCCCAGGCCAGGTTGTACCAGCGGCGGCACACGCGGGCGCAGCGGCACAGCTGGTTGGTGGGCAGGAAGGAGAAGATCTGGACCATGGAGTGGTCCGGGAGGCGCTCGATGCTGGCCTGGTCTTTCTGTGGCCTGGAGGCGAGCCGGATGAGCGGGTGCGTGAGGCGGGTGGGTGGCGGCGAGTGGACCATGGCCACCGTCTCCCCGGTGACGGAGGATGACGAGGTGGACGAGCCCCTTCCATTCTGAAATCCGGGCAGGTTCGGGGGACATATCAGGGCTGGGCTGGGTGTGCTCAATGTGCGCATACTCAGGTCGGAGTCTGGCAAAGGACAGAGAGCAAAGGGTTAAGGATGCCCGCAGGAGGGCCCTGGGAGGGAGGCGGCCGTCCTGGGCAGACCCCTGCTGAATCCAGCGCCAACACTGGGAGCAGAAGCATGTGCGGGCTCCCCGGGCCCAGGAAAGGGCTAATGCTCCATCATCTACCCCAGGGGTGGGTGCACGTCTGTAAAGGGCCAGATGGTAAATACTGGTGGTGTTGCGAGCCATATGGGCTCCATCTCTGCTGCAATCATTCAATCCTGCCAGTGTAGTGCAAAAGCCGCGCTGAGCAATATGGAAACGAAAAGGCGTGGTTGTTTAAATAAAACTTGTTTTATAAAAACAAATCAGCTGGATTGGGCCTTAAGGCCAAAGCTGCTGAACTCTGATCCACCTTAACGGTGATTAGCAGCTTAGGTCACAACTCCAAAGGTTCATTATTTCTATTCTGGGAAGAAACCTCATGTATCATGAACACAAGCTGACTTAATTTTCTAATTATATTTTTGTTAGGCAGAGGAGTATGTTTCATTTACAAATGAAGGGAATGAGTTTCTGAAGAGAGGAGAGGCAGGCTGGCCAGTGGGTGTGGAGAACATTCGTGGTCTTTGCCCTCACCTGCCCCCTTGAATCCAGTCTCCCATCTTTTGTTAGTACCCCAAACTCGGGGGCCTGGGGAACCACCCCACTTCCTCTGTTAGACCAGGCACTTCAGGTGGTATTGCTAGGCCTTGAGTATCTGTGGTGATACTTATTTTTCCTTCTGATTAACAATTCCTCCCTTTGCAGTTGAATAATAGAAACCGAAAGATCTCTTGATGAAGATACAAAAACCTTGATGAGGTTTTTAAATTTATGAAGGATTGAGAGTTTTTCAACTACCATTTCCTATATATGAAAGATTTATATATATATGAAAGAATTCACTCTTCTATATTTATATATATTTTACATATATAGATGGATAGATTTGTTTAGGAAGACATTTACTCTCCCTCTACATGTTTATATATTTTATATACACAGACACATATGTATATATTATATATGTGATACATATATTTAAAAAATACACAATATATAAAAAAAATATTTGTATAGAAAGAGAGAAAGAAAATTCATCTCTGAAATACAAATTTCTTCATCTGTGAAGTGCGTTGGAAGATGGTTTCTAAGTCATTTCCAGCTCTATTTATAGCTATAAAGACTATGAGGCTAAACATTCTATCCTTGTGTGCTTTTCCACATTTCAGACCTTTGGAATTTTGAAGCATCCATCTTTTCCAAGAAATTCCAGCAGTAAGTAACATAGGACACAAGAACTTCTGACAACAAACATTGCCCCTGAGTGGCTATTTAGAGTTTTTCTACTGCTGTAACACTTTCTTTTAGGGAGAGTTGTATTTGTTGTATTTTTAAAAATATATATGTTTTTGGGAGGAGATTTCCACTGTCCTACTCATGCCACCATCTTGGCTCCGCCCCTGTAACACTTTCTTTTAATTCTTTGTAATATAACATTGAAAATATTCTACACATGTCCTTGACTTTGCTCACTGAGCAGCTTTGAATTATTGCTGCCTCCACGTCCCCACCTTGTCTGTCCTTTGAAATATACTTTTTGTCACTGAGTGCAAATGCCACCCCTCTGAGATTTTTAAGTGTCTTCAAGGTATAATTCATTTCTTCCCTTTTGCATTTGTCAGTTTATCTTTCCTTCATATACTTGATTGTATTATTTTTCTCAGTTTTTCCTATCTCCCCATATTCCATACCTTTGTCAGGTGACTTTGCAGTTCCTCCTAGGCAGGTGTCATTCCTCGGTCTAGTTAATGTTGGCCGTGGCCAGGTGGCTTGCTTTGGCATGTCAGGTGCTGTGATGTTCCCAAAGCCATTTGTGTGGTTGGGCTTGCCTGCTTGAGTTTCTACCGTTACCATGAAAAGAACACGCCAGGCTAGTCCACTGATATTAGGATGAGGAGAAGCCCATACTGCAGACAGAACTGACCCCAACCTATGGCTTAGAGACAAGCTCAACCGAGCCTGGCTGGGGTCAACCCATGCCTAACTGAACCACAGATGTGTCAGCAAGAACACTGTGTTTGGGAATGATTTGCTGCATAGCAATACTGTGGCAACAGTTGGTGGATATGCCTTCTATTCCACTAAAAAGTCCTTTGAGACAAAGATTAAATCATTTTATTTGTGTCCTGGCATCACTTGAGATGGTTTATGGTACATACTAGGTGCACATAAATGTCTTGCACTGAATGGAAATATTTACATGTTTAAAAAATAATAATTTCCAGCTTGGCATGCACTTTTCTATCCCAGGTGGCATACACACTGCCTTTTAAATCATTCATAAGAAAAGAAATATGTACTTCTCTCTTTTGTAATCAGCTAAAATCTTTGAGGTACATCTTACATGCAAACCAGCTAGGGATTTCAAAACGGTCATGGCCCTAACCTTCATCACCACCTGAACTCCGAGAACTGCCTCTGAGGGAGGTGAAGAACTTAGGCCAGGAGGGAAGGACAGACAGTCTTAGGCTTTCAGCTCTGATATTTTAGCAGCTGTGAGGGCTCCAAAACCTCTCTCCTGCCTGCCTTTGTTCTATTCATCATGAAAGAGAAGCCTTACCAGTGCTCGGAGACCTGCCCAGCCTGAGTTAGGCACCTGGGGGATGAAGCATGCTTACACAGGGGTGGAGGTGTGTTCCTAAAGCTGGCATCTATAAGCAGTTCACTTTTCTGCAGTCTTTCATATTCCCAGCACTGAAGGGGATGAGGGGGGCACACCCAGATAGATGCCTAGCACTGATTTAGTGACGTTCTCAGTTTTTTTTCTTTCCTTTGCCAATAATCACACTCAGAGATGGCAGCCTTGCACACTGAGGAACATTCCACTCTGGGAAGGATTCTGGAGCCCAGGCCCCACTCTCCTTCCTCCCCTATCTAGGACCGGGCAGCAGATCCCCAGCAGTAATCACAACTGCTCTGCACTGCTCGCCCTGGTGGGGAGACAGGCTGGGGGTTCTGAGTTTTCGCTTGGATTGCCGGATGTCTCTCTAGCCAGAGCATGCACCAGGATGCTCTGGTTCCTTCCCACTAATTCTAAAGCCAATCAAGAATGCTCAGACAATGTTTAAAAGGACACAATTTGTCATCACTAAATAAATAGCACCTGATAATTTGAAAAATAATTAAGAGTGATCAGCAATGCTTTCCTCTGAATGTTAGTATCCCTCTCAAATTCATATGGGGAAATCCTAACCCCCAAAGGTGATGGTGTGAGGAGATGGGGCCTTCGGTATGTGATGAGGTAATGGGGGTGGAGCCCTTCCCAATGGGATTAGTGCCCTCCTAAGAGACCCCATAGGTAGCTCCTCCTTGGGCTAAGTGAGGTTAAACAGTGTGAAATGACTGCCTATGAGGGAGTGGGCCCCTGCAGACACTGACTTTGCCAGCACCTTGATCTTGGACTTCCCAGCCTCCAGAACTGTAAGAAAGAAATTTCTGTTGTTTATAAGTCACCTAGTCTGTGATATTTTGCTGCAGCAGCCCAAATGGACTAAAAGAAGTGACAGCTGGAGACAGGCATACCTACAAGTGTTCATAAAATATTTCTTCTTGTTATTCCCCCCCCCCAAATATATATGTATTTTGGGGAGAATATAAATAATACTTATGTATTTATATATAAATGTATTTCCCCCAAACACACACACACACACACACACATACATATTTAATCTGGAAATAAATTTTATCATGGATAAAATACTCACAGATTGCCATACAATCTGTCTTACCCTTTGATAGGAGGAGCCATTTACTGCCACTTAGATATATCTTTATAACAACAGAAGTTTTTCATATTGAACTACTGAAAGCCCTAGAATATAAATGTCAACATACCAGGAAAATAAAGCATGGCTTCAAATTAAAAATCAAGCACCATTTCCAGCTACCAAGTAGTATATTTCATTCACATAAGGGACTGCAGGGAGACCTAATGCACTCCTTGTACACAGCTTTTTCTCCTCTGTCCCTTTCAAAGGACTGGCAGCTAAATGGACATGGGCAGTACCTGACAATATTTCTGATAGAGCTTAGAAACAAGGACACTGATGCCCTGGTATGATACACACTCAGAAAGGAAAGGAAAGGATCAAAGACAGATATTAAGATGATGAAGTTAGAAGAACGCTGGAACCTAGACGCTGGGACTTACAATATTGCAATACAAACAGAAGCAGAAAAAAGCTGACTTTATTTGACCTTACAATATAGATTTAGAATATTTTGTAGGCATGAATGTATTTTCGTATCTTAGTATGTATTTCAAGTATAATTTCTACCTATCTGGTATCTTGGGGGCAAAATTAGCCTAGTTATCTTAGCAGTAAGGTTATACACATTGGGCTATAACAGTTTAAAAATGAATCTAAGAGAATATTATTTCTAACTTTAATACACTGTACACTTACAAATATATTTACATAAAAATGAGCATTATACTTCATCTTCCCTTCCCTTCCCCCGGGGCAAATGGTGAGATGCATGGCTCCCATAGGGAAGAACTCTACCCTACCAGGCATTATTTTGAACAGAGAAAATAGGACTTGCAAGTAAGTGTGAAGTGAAATCTACATTTCCAAAGATTCTATCAAGAATCAAATTCATGGATGCCAGCGTCGGGTGTCCTTAAATTCTGAGAAGTCCTTTTGATAACTGGAAATAGGGGTCATGCTGAAAAGGCAGAAGAGCTTGTTTAAAAGCCTTCCTTTCCTGCTGCTTCTGTGGCAGGAAACACCCACAGAGAATTCTCAACAAGAAGCATTGCCAAGCGGTGTGTGCAACAAGCTCCTGATCATGTATTTGAACATAAGATGTCCCATGAAATATCAGGAAAAGGAATGCCAAACTCTTAGGAGACAAATACATCTTCATAACATATGAAAAATTCCCAAAACATAAAAGGCAGGTGGCTTTTTA